GCATAGGAGTGTATGTATTTGTTGTTTTTTATGCCTCTTATATTGTCTTTATATGTTTCCGTTGCTTTTTATTTTTTATTTTAGAGGTTCCTCTTTCATCTCTTTTTCCCCTTATGATTTTTTATTGCTGTTTAAGAAACTAGAATTTTTGTCCTGTAGAATTTCTCACAGCTTGAATTTGGCTGATTCTCTGCCATGGTGATGTTTAATATGTTCTGTCCCTATCTTTATGATTATTGCCTCTATCTGTTAATTTTTTAGGAGCTGCAGAATGATGACACTCTAATGCTATCATTTGCTTTTCATTTGTTAGCCCAGAATACTTTTGTAAAGGGAAACTCTTCCTTCTTCCACCACCCCAACTAATTGGTTAGTCTTGAGTTCATAGAGAAAAAGCAGGGCAAGTGCTTATTCTTTCCCTTTTTTTTAATCAGTTTTCAAAATAATGAATTGGTTCCCTAGGATCTTCCACAGACAGCCAGTGAGATTTTTTTTTTTTTTTTTAAATTAAAAGTATCAGCCTGGTGCAGTGGCTCATGCCTGTAATCCCAGCACTTTGGGAGGCCAAAGCAGGCAGATTGCAAGGTCAGGAGTTTGAGACCAGCCTGGCCAACATGGTGAAACCCCATTTTATTAGTGAACCATCACTACTAAAAATACAAAAATTAGCTTGGCGTGGTGGTACGTGCCTGTAATCCCAGCTACTCAGGAGGGTGAAGCAAGAGAATCACTTGAACCTGGGAGATGGAAGTTGCAGTGAGCCGAGATTGCACCACCAGCCTGGGTGACAGAGGGAGACTGTCCATCTCAAAAAACAACAAACAAACAAACAAACAAAACTTAAAGTATCATTATGAACTCATGGTTTATAATGAATTTAAACTTACTTGATGTTTCACTTCATTGATATTTCTGTCCTCAGGGATGATCAGTTGTTCCGTCTTTGGCTAGTAGTAAACCCTTCAAAACCCTATATGTTTTTTAAACTTCCTTACTTTCTGCTATGACATGGTATTTCAAGCTCTTCTGGAATATTTCTTGCCCCTAACCTGGAATCAGCCATTTCTACAAGAAGCCTGGAAAGGATGCAAGGCTGTGTAATGCCACTAGGTGATCATTGCTCCTGGGCTTTTTCAGTGGACAGAGCTAGGAAATAGTTTTTGTTTGTTTGTTTGTTGTTTTGAGATGGAGTCTTTCTCTGTCGCCCGGGCTGGAGTGCAATGGCGCAATCTTGGCTCACTGCAGCCTCCGCCTCCTGGGTTCCAGCGATCCTCCTGCCTCAGCCTTCCGGGTAGCTGGGATTACAGGTACACACCACCACGCCCAGATGATTTTTGTATTTTTAGTAGAGATAGGGTTCACCATGTTAGCCAGGCTAGTCTGAACTCTTGGCCTCAGGTGATCCTCTCACCTCAGCCTCCAAAAGCGCTAAGATCACAGGCGTGAGCCACTGTGCCCAGCTGTATTCTTTTAAAGATTAAAAATTCAATGAGTTTGCTTTTACTTTTACAGTTTGTATTCTGGACTATAAGATTTAGACGTTTATTTCCTTCTTTTTCCTATGCACAAAGTCCCGGGTCCCAACAAACACTGACATACTTACTGATTGCTTTCTCACCTGCTACGACCCATATGACCCAGCAGCCTTAGAATAACAGTACCCACTTGTCCAGTACTAATATGATTACTGAAAACAGATTAAGATTTTTCTTTTAGCCACCTTTTGGGGTCAGTTTTAAAGGTTATTTCACAATATTGATATGCTGTCAGATTATTGTGTTGTAAAGTCTCTTGGAGTAGTGCTGCTCTGTTATGTTATCAACTGGATTTGCTTTTAGGGACACTTTATTCACTTTCTTTTGACTTTAGGGATTGCATTATTAACATTTGATTTAGTATTGTGAATAATTTTTACATGATTTCAAAACAAAATCTACAAAACAAGATGTATAAAAGGGAGCTTCATATCCATCCTCTTTTCTTCTTCCCTATTCCCCTACCTCACTTACAGGTATCAATTTTGAAAAAAATGTTATAGATTATCCTACCATTGTTTTTTTTCAATATCTGCAAATAGGTATATATGTTTAGTCTTCTTTAAAAAAAATGGGTTTTTCACTATGGCTTATTTCACTTGCCCTGTTTTTTGTATATCTTCTGGTATTTATAAAGGTTTGTGTTTGGGTTTGAATGCTTACCTTTATACTCAGCCTTCACATGGCACTCTCACTCCCCTCTTGTTTGGTCTTTGTCTGTTGGTTCCAAATATGAGCAATATTGAAATGAGCTGGGAGCCTCTTCCTCCCCTTACAGCACTGGTTTTGAACTAAGGACCTTCATACTCTTTGGGAACATTTCCAGATCTCCAAAATCAATGCATTTTGTATAGAGACACATGTGTGGTCCACAACTGATAATTGACTAGGATGTAGTAAGTTAACTTAGGGTCACTTGTTAAATAAAAACACAAGTGGGCTGGGTGCAGTGGCTCACGCCTGTAATCCCAGCACTTTGGGAGGCTGAGGAGAGCGGATCACTTGAGGCCAGGAATTCAAGACCACCCTGGCCAACATAGTGAAACCCCATCTCTATTAAAAATACAAAAATTAGCCAGGCGTGGTGGCACATGCCTGTAATCCCAGCTACTCAGGAGACTGAGGCAGGAGAATCGCTTGAACTGGGGAGGCGGAGGTTGCAGTGAGCTGAGACTGCACCACTGCATTCCAGCCTGAGCGACAGAGGGCAACTCTGTCTAAAAAAACCACCAACCAACCAAGTACCAAGTGAAATGTGTTAGATCGAGCTGTTCTACCAGCGAGTGATGGGCAGCCTGAGAGGACACCCACCTGTCCTGCAGTGCATTATCCTGTGCCTGATGCACCTGAGTGCTGTGTGGGACGCAGACAGTTCTTTAAGGAGGGAAAATGCTTTCATTGGGCTGGTTTCTATGGTTTTTACCCCGCCCCCCACTTAAGTGATAAGATGGTATATGAAGTCATAAGGGCCAGGTTAGGTACCATGAATAATTAATTGCCACAGCTCTCAGTAACCTAATTTTAGAAGCAGATGTGGCAATAATAGGCCCTGGTTTCAGTTTTCTTCGTTTTGCAAATGGCAAGGTGGCCAGTATTTAAGCAGGGAAAGGGAAAAGGAGGGAAAAACCATAGTACTCAGCACTTGATTGAGACGTGTCTGGTTCCTGAAAAGCAGAGTTAGTTCTGCGTCATCCCTTTCTTCACTGACTTGGATTTGCGGAACGCCTGCTATGTGTAAGGTGGATATCATATATACAGTAGGATAGGGTAGGAGCCTGTACTGTTATGCTCATATAGTGCTACGGAATGAGAAAAACTAACATATTTTGAGGCAGACTGTGGGGATGACAGACCCTATAAAAGTGTGCCGTTTGAGCTAGGTTCACGGGTGTAAGTGATGGTTAGGGATTGCTCACAAGTGAATTGACCTTCCTTTTTTTTTTTGAATGTAGGTTTAAGTAACCTATTAAGTGGGACAAGCAGACTATTATTAACTGTAGAATTTAGGTAGGTACTAAGTAGATGAAAAAATGGTAGCAGAAGGTTAATGTTAATGTTAAATCAAGTCCTGGATCTCACACATATTCTCTCTTTCTCTGACACTCACAGAGTGCACCAAGAGAAAAATGAATGTGTGTACCCTTTATCTCAGTAGTGCTACCTCTAGCATTTTATTGCAAGAATATATTTGGCCTTTTCCACAAAAATATATGTGCAGGATGTCAATTAGGCATATGTGTGTGTACACACACATTGACAAAGTAAGTGTGCACCTTCTTTCCCATAGACACACACATACTCTCACTTTGCATATATTCTGTATTTATGGTAGGAAATTGAATAATTGTTTCATGCCTTTATATAGTGACCATATATTAATTGTATAATTAAGAAAATCGGTAAAACGATTTTCATTTAAGAAGGTAATTACAATTTTCTTTTCCTTTTAGTGCAAGTTATAGAGATCTGGATTTTGTACTGTTTTGTACTATTTTTTATTTTGAAGCAGAACATTTATATTCTTATATTCTTTAAACTAAATTGGTATTGATTCAGTTTCATTTTTGGCTTCCAACAAAATCAGATGATTACAAGGGAAGAACAGCTGACCCTTAGGGAGGCATTCCTAAGGTTCTTGGATTGATGAATGAGTTTGTGAAGTCTGACTCAGTGATGAAACTCTTTGATCTACTCTAGAAACTATACTGATTTTCAAATGTGTTGAACATTTGTAACAAGTTTTGCGTTTTAAAAATGATCAAACTGGTAATGGCAGAAGATAATTTTAAAAAGGAATAATAACCATCTTTCTTTGGCCATGTTTTTATAGGTGTCAGATTGTTTCTACCTTTTTTTCTTTTTTGAGACGAAGTCTCACTTTGTCACCCAAGCTGGAGTGTAATGGTGCAATCTTGGCTCACTGCAATGCAACCTCTGCCTCTCAGGTTCACGCAATTCTCCCTGCCTTAGCTTACCGAGTAGCTGGGATTACAGACACCCGTCACCACACCTGGCTAACTTTCGTATTTTTAGTAGAGATGGGGCTTTGCCCTGTTGACCAGAATGGTCTCCAACTCCTGACCTCAGGTAATCCACCCACCTCAGTCTTCCAAAGTGTTGGGATTACAGGCGTGAGCCACTGCACCCGGCCCATTTCTAACATCTTTATATTTACTGTGTCAACTCTTTAATGCCACAATTTAAATGTTTACTAAGGCAGTGTCTGTTATAATTTGACTTTTGATTGCCTTGCTTTGAAGAATCAGAGGCAAATTCTTTTGGGGCAGACAGAGTTGTAAACCACCTTGTCTCTTTAACTTCTTTCTTAGGGTGATTTAATCTGCTTGATAACCTTAACTTCTTTTATCCAATTAGTAGGATTACATGGTAATCATGATTTGTCAAATGCTTTTAAAATAAAATTTTACAATGAAAATAATTTTATTTTTATATATTTTTTAACAGAAATCATAGCCCACTAATGAGTTTTGGAGCCAGTTTTGTCAGTTTTTTGGTAAGTTGATATCTTAAGACCTATTGGCATGAAGGAAACAATTACATAAAGTAATGTCTGTTAGTGGCTACCAGTTGTATAGATACACTATTATAGAGAATCTTTTAGAGTTTAAAGCTGAAATAAAGTTTTTGCCTATTACCCAATGCCTATGAAATAATCTATCTTCCCTAATTTTTAAAAATAAATGCTTATATCTTATTTATAGAGTATTATATTTTAACCAAAGTCCTTTTTAGAATAAAAATGTAATGGAAAGATCATCAGTGATTAAAACTGCGTTTGAGGGAGAAAAAAAGGTCTGGGGTTTGAAATAATAAAGATTTGCTCTAAAATTATTGAGTAAATGTGGACCAGAGGATATGTTAAATGAGTGGAGCTAACGTTTGTCAGTTAGTATTACATTTCCAAATATGAGTATTGGGGAATAGAGGAAGTAAGTTGCAGTTAGGTTTTAAAGTACATTGGGCAATGTGGAAAATAGGATGCTTTGATTTTTCAGAAACAGTTAAGCATCACACAAACTACTTTCAAACATATAATTTTTTAAAAGACTGCTGAAGAATTGTGTAACAACAAGAATAAAGAGACATGACAGAGACTGAAAAAGGGAAAGGATTTAGATCTAAGACTTAGAAAGATGTCAGCGAATGGGCATGTCACACACAGCCTGGCAGTGCTCAGCCACAGTACCAGGCCAGCTTCCAGTGAGACATTTTTATTCAAGGTATTTATTTCCTCTTATTGCCAGTTAATGCAACAAAAATGTTAAGGGCTATTGTTTGAAAGAATACATTATTCCCAACCTCAAGGAGAATGGTACAGGGTCGGGGTCGTAACTTTAGTACTCAATGATTACAAGAGCTGTAAACAAGATATATCTAAAGGGTCTTGGCTGAGTCTGGTGGTGGAGGAGGTGAGAAGCAAGGCCACACAGCAGGGTTGAGATTTCAGCAGCTTGAGAGGAGGGTTGGGAAGAAGAGTGTGGCAGGGAGGCTTGGGCCAAGGTGATGGTGGTGTGGTTTGGCTAGAATGGAGAAGTAGGTTAGAGCCATACTGAGGAAGCTTGAAATGTGAAATGCCAAGATGGAGATGGTGGAACTTGATAGGAAATGGGGAGCTGGAGACATAGGTTCATTAGGTCCTTCCAAGAACCAGGTATCCTGTAGCAAGTCTCTTTCTGCCCCTGTAAGCCCATTCATGCCAGAAAACTCAGCTCTACTGGGTAGAAGTCACAGGTGTTCAGCAATTTGGCAGATTTTCCCTTCGTGGTTAAATGTGGCCTGAAAAAGTCCACCAGGATCAGGTGCCTAGAAACAAACTGTCATGGAATTTTGAACCATAGACAATATAAAACGAATTCCTTTTAAGTGAACCCTCTGGAATTGCAGTCCCTGGAAAGACTGAATTTTTCTAAGAGTACCTACAAGCTGTTGTTACATTAGCATTTTCTGTGCAGTACTTGGCGGAGCCAGGGATCATCCATATGTGGGTAGAATGAAGTTTTGAATTAGACACCATTGTAAAAACTGAATTGAGCATACCAATCAGAAATTATGGAGAATTTTTTGTTGTGTTTAATAACAGCAACAATAAAACTTGTAGAACAGTAATTACAGGGACATTTATTATTGTATTTTCATGATGATAGAGGTATAGTCTTATTTCATGTTGAGATTATAGTTTCTTTAAATGAATAGATTGTGCTGTTACATTTACATTCTTTTGCTTGCAATAAATAATTTGTTTTTTTTTTTAATTTGGAGTTTTGTTGTAACAAATTTGCCTAAATTTATTTCTCTCTCTCTTTCTTTCTTTCTCCTCTCTCTCTCTCTCTTTCTAGAATGCCATGATGACATTTGAGGAAGAAAAAATGCAGTTGGCATGTGATGACTTAAAAACTACAGAAAAACTGTGTGAAAGTGAAGAGGCCGGAGTAATTGAAACAATCAAGAATAAAATTAAGAAGAATGTAAGTTCTGCGGCTTCAGGTTGTGAACTGTGTGCCGCTTATTCAGAATATCACTTGTGTTCATTTAGAACAAAAGCCATTTGCTTGGTTTTGGTATTTAGAATATTGCTGAAAAACCACAATGTTTCTTATGGTTTTTGGCTATATAAAATGTATCTCTTAAAAAAACAGAAGGTCCTTTCAGTCATCCAGAGCCATTCAGTGCATGTGCATTTGGTATCTTAGAATCATCTTCTTCCATAATGGGCTGTGTGGCAAGAGCTGTTTTAATGAGCTTTTCCTATATGTAATTCAAATAGGATACGATGGCAGTTGATGAATAATAGAATTGCATTTTGGTATAATTCTGAAACTCAGCAGTTTACCTAATTTTCCCCAGGCCTCATCAGCCTTTGGTTGCAAATAGTCATAATAACATCGTAATCAAGTTTTCCTGATTTTACCTTCATCTTTCAGTGCAAAAGTGCTAGGCTCTGGAGAGGCATCCTCCTAGCCCTGATGTTACTTGGATTGCCCAAGGGTCTCACATATGTCACTGACAAATCAGTCTGTTGGATATAGTCATCAGAAGCCACCTGTCTTCTACTCCTGTATGCCTGTGCCCTGCCTATAAAGCATCATAGGAGAGTGCTTTACCTCTGCTCTTGTTTATAATGTCCACCATGAGAAAGCTACCAATGGGCCAAGTGTCCCATCTCCTGATTGTCCAGAGGGCCAGAGTTTTCCTAGCTTCCTTTCTCTCCAGCCTGATGTCTAATCAATGACCAAGTGCTGTTGACTCTTTTTCTTAAATACTTCTTGAATTCATCGACTATTCCCCATCCTCACTGCCATCTCTGTAGGTCAGACACCATCCCACTTGTCTAAGACACATCGGCATTTCTGCCTCTGGTCTCATGGTTTCGTAATGTAGGGGTTCCCAACCCCTGGGCCATGGGTCCATACTGGTCCATGGACTGTTAGGAACCAGGCCACAGAGCAGGAGGTGAATTGCAGGGTGAGTGACCATTACCGCTTGAGCTCCACCTCCTGTCAGATCAGCAGCCCGTCATTAGATTGTCATAGGAGCATGAACTGTGCAAGTATAAGGGATCTAGGGTGTGTGCGCTCATTATGAGACTCTAACTAATGGCTAATGATCTGAGGTGGAATAGTTTCATCCTGAAGCCATTAACCCATACCCTCCCAACCCCCCAACCTGGTCCACGGAAAAACGGTCTTCCATGAAGCTGGTCGCTGGTGCCAAAAAGGTTGGGGTCTGCTGCTCAAATTATTGTTGATAATATAGTCACTAAAATGCAAATTTGTTGCTTACTTGGTTTTCAGTGGCCCCTCTCACCAGCCATTGCCATTATAATAAACTACCAACTCCCTAATGTGGCTACCTTGGCATTTACATTTCCTCTGCCTGGAACATTCTCCTCCCTCATTTCCTGGTTCCTGTTCTTTTTTAGTTCTTTCTAGGTGTCCTTTTCCCCAGGGACTCTTGTTTGAGGCTCCATGCCCTGTGGAGTATGTCTCCTACAGCTCCCGTGGTTCCCTGCCCTTACCCTTAGAGTGCTTCCCACAATACATAGTAATAATAATAAGGTCTGTATTTCCTCAGTACAATGAAAGCTTATTTACATGTCTGTCATCAGTATCCAGTACCATGTCTAGCATTTGCATTAATAATTAACATTTGTAATGTGTCCTTACAATTTAAAAAGTGTTTTCACATTGAGCATCTCATTAGCCCTCCCAACAATCCTACGCATTAGTTTGTTTTTTGTTTTTTGTTTTTTTTTGAGATGGAGTGTCTCACTGTCGCATGGGCTGGAGTGCAATGGCACGATCTCCACACACTGCAACTTCTGCCTCTCGCGTTCAAGCGATTCTCCTGCCTCAGCCTCCCAATAGCTGGGGTTACAGGTGCCCACCACCACACCTGGCTAATTTTTTGTATTTTTAGGAGATAGGGCTTTTACCATGTTGTCCAGACTGGTCTCAAACTCCTGATCTCAGGAGATCCACCCACCTTGTCCTCCCAAAGTGCTGGGATTATAGGCATGAGCCACCTTGCCCGGCCAGATGTTATTACAAATGAGGAAATAAAAGCTTCTTGACATTTTTCCAAGTGAATAGAGTAGTGAGTGCTGGGGTTAGATTTGGAACCACAGTGACCATGATGGATTATGCTAAAATCTAGAAAAAGGGAAGGAGATGACTCTGGCATGACTACTGTATATACTGTTGACACATCTGCAAAAATCCTATTATTTTTTCTGTCATTGTGATAGCATATTGAAAGTTATTTAACTTATTTTATTCCAGTTTACTTTGTACTAAATACAGAGTGTTCTATTCTGAAGTGATTTTTTCTTCATTTTAGAAACATGATAAAGACGAACATTTTATAAAAAGTGATTTGACTTTGCATATTTTTATTTATATGACTTATATTTCAAGTACTGTTTGTGATTTATTCAAAGCTAATTTTGAATTCCAGAATATTTTCTCCTTAATGGAAATGTAATCTGTTTCTGATCCTTCATCTCAGTTGCATGCACAAATAGAATGTCCCTAATGTGGCCAGGTGCGGTGGCTCACACTTGTAATCCCAGCACTTTGGGAGGCTGAGGTGGGAGGATCACCTGAGGTTGGGAGTTTGAGACCAACCTGATCAACAGGGAGAAACTGTATCTCTATTAAAAATATAAAAATTATCCGGTGTAGTGGCGCATGCCTGTAATCCCAGCTACTCAGAAGGCTGAGGCAGGAGAATTGCTTGAACCCAGAAGGTAGAGGTTGCAGTGAGCCGAGATTGCACCAGTGCACTCCAGCCTGGGTGACAAGAGTGAAAGTTCATCTCAAAAAAAAAAGAATGCCCCTAATGTTATCCTACCTGAAGACAGGTGGCTGCAAAGTCGACTTTTCAGGTTATCTACTTGGAGGAATGTATTGTACCTTTAATAATTTTTCTTTTGGATAAGAAAGACTTCACATTGTTTTTTTTTTTTAAAAAAGGTGAAACTCTGAAGTTTTGTGTTGCTTTCATATTTCCTATGAATTAAGCTTGTATCACTTAGAATATTTTTATTTTTGAATTACAGTGCTCAAACAAACAAAACTAAGTCAGACTAATGGAAATTTGGAGCTGCCAGGCCCATAGGAAAAATTTGGTCTTGGCATTGAGTGAATGCCAGGTTTCACAATTCCTATGTGAAATTACTTTGTACAATAACCTAATACTGTCTGGGGGGGACTATCGTTGTTATGTGTGATTTATCACTGTGGGCTTTCTTTCCGCCAAATAGGTTGATGTCCGAAAATCCGCCCCCTCTATGGTTGATCGGCTTCAGAGGCAGATAATCATAGCTGACTGTCAGGTTTACCTGGCTGTGCTTTCGTTTGTAAAACAAGAATTGTCAGGTATGCTGAAGTTTTATTTTTAATGACTTTCACTATTCAGTGCACACAATTAGTAATATGCTTTTTTTAGAATGCCTTATATTTCAGTCTTTGAAAACATGTGGCACCCCTTTGGGGCATGATACTGATTTATTCCTGGGGAAATTGAAACCACAAGTGTTTAATGTGTATTTAGTGGAGCAGTTTTTGTGCTAGAGTCTGTTTCATCCTCTTGTCTCAAGAGAATTCTGTCATACTTGCAGAAACTGCCAGTGCTTTTTATATGTATGTGGATGGATAATACTTTGTGGGAATCAGATTGTGATAGTAACCTTTAAAGTGAAATATAACTGGCTTAAATTTAAGGTTTTCAGGAAGTTGTTATTGAAAGCCTGAGTACCTTCAATGGTTTTAAGTATATTAGGAGATCGTTAAAGATCATTAAAGAATTGCTATGGCTGGTCGCAGTGGCTCATGCCTTGGAAGGCTGAGGCGGGCGGATCATCTGAGATTCGGAGTTCGAGACCAGCCTGACCAATATGGTGAAACCCCTGAATCTTAAAAAAAAATTTTGCTAATATACTGGAATGACCTGCATTTTAGCAAACTTTAGTGAGGGATATAAACAAATTTCTTAATTAGTTTGTCCAAGACAAATGTTTTCCAGGCTTAGTTTTAATTTCTTGAGTGAAATAGAGTCAAGTGAGCTTCTAAAGCTTGTCCTACCAGTGAGTCTAAAATTGACCTTATTCTTTTAATTATGTAGTTATGGGTGTCTCTGATATTGACAGCAGAAACTTGCCACTTTGGCAGATAGAATTTACTTGAAAAAAATTGAAAATTCTAAAAGGAAATCAATTAAAATTCACTGTCAGAAAGATAATTTCTCTTAAACCTTAAATGAAGAAGGATATATTTCTTTTAAATTAGAACATGCTCTTTCTAGCCTTTCAGAAGCCAGTTTTTCCTCCTCCTTCTTATTTCCCTTGCTTCCATCTTTGTCTCTGTCTCATCCCGAAGATGCTTTATTCTGTTTGGCTGAAGTCAAAAGTGGAATTTGGAATTTCACTTGTATTTTGACCTCTGAGATTTGGACTTCTAAGAATTGATTTTTCTTTTAAAATATGTTCTATGATGTACATTCACTGTTTGCTTTGGTTCAGTAATTTTTTTCCTCTTTAACCCTCTTCTCAGGACTCTTCTAATACTACCTTGCTTATATGGTCAAGAACTCAAAGCTCATGTGAATTTTCTATAATGCAATAATGTCAAATCCCCCACGTAGAGCTCACTCCTAACTCAGATATAAAAGAGTAGCGGAGCTTATCTGAACCTTGTTGGTCAAGACAGGAGCTCTCCATGTTTTTGTACTTCCTTTTCCTGACACTCAAGGACTCTCATAAGGAACTAATTTTAACCATTAAGAAAATATCTGGTCAGGTGCAGTGGCTCACACCTGTAATCCCAGCACTTTGGGAGGCCAAGGCAAGCGGATCACTTGAGGTCAGGAGTTTGAGACCAGCCTAACCAACATGGTGAAACCCCGTCTCTAGTAAAAATTCAAAAATTAGCCAGGCAGGGTGGCGGGCGCTTGGGAGGCTGAGGCAGGAGAATCGCTTGAACATAGGAGGTGGGGGTTGCTGTGAACTGAGATCACTCCACTGCGCTCCAGCCTGGATGACAGAGTGAGACTCAAAAAAAAAAAAAGGAAAAGAAAAGAAACTATCTGTTGAGGGAGGAGGCTAAAGCAAATGTAATAAAAGTTAAGCACATCAGAACTTTTTTTTTGAGATGGAGTCTTGTACCGCCTCCCAGGCTGGAGTACAGTGGCACAATCTTGGTTCACTGAAACCTCTATCTCCCAGGTTCAAGTGATTCTTCTGCCTCAGCCTCCTGAGTAGCTAGGATTACAGGTGCCCACTACCACTCCAGGCTAGTTTGTGTTTTTAGTAGAGACAGGGTTTCACTATGTTGACAGGGTCTCCAACGCCTGACCTCGTGATCCACCTGCCTTGGCCTTCCAAAGTGCTGAGATTACAGGCATGAACCAGAACTTTTTAAATGAGTTTATCTGTTCTTCATTTGTTCAATCATTGATCCATTCAACAAATAATTAGAGAGCAAATGCTGTGTGCTAAGCACTAGTTAGATAAGAAAACACAGACCTAGTCCCTGCCCTTGAGAAGCTGAGAATTATCAGATATTTATATTTAAGATTATTCTGATTGTAAAATTTCTAAATATTAGTATGGAAAATTTTGGAAAGATAGAAAGCAAGTCATCATCTCTAATTTTACCACTTAGAGAAAATCTCTTTGTTAATAGTAATCTGCTTTATATTTCTCTATTTTTTTTTTTTTTTTACAAAACTGTGTCTATAGTATTTTGTATCTTTTTTTTTCTTTCTTTTCTTTCTTTTTTTTTTTTTTTTTTGAGACGGGGTTTCGCTGTTGTTACCCAGACTGGAGTGCAATGGCACTATCTCAGCTCACTGCAACCTCTGCCTTCTGGGTTCAAGCAATTCTCCTGCCTCAGCCTCCCGAGTAGCTGGGACTACAGGTGCGCACCACCATGCCCAGCTAATTTTTTGTATTTTTAGTAGAGACGGGGTTTTACCTTATTGACCAGGATGGTCTCGACCTCTTGACCTAGTGATCCACCCGCCTCGGCCCCCCAAAGTGCTGGGATTATAGGCGTGAGCCACCGCACCCGGCCGTATTTTTTCTTTTCAAATATACTTTTGATATTTTCCCTATGACTCAGTTTCAGAACATAATTTTAAATAATAGCATGTTCATTTATCATATGGTTACGCCATAATGTATTTAATCAATTCCTCATGGACATTTAGATGATCCTTGGTGTGCATTTTTTGGGGTATTAGTGAGGTTGAACATGTTTTTATATTTTATTGATAAACTATATTTCTTTCACAAAGTATCTTCACAGTCTTTACCTATTCTTCTAACAGTTTGATACTATTGTTATTTAATCCTGTTTATCATAGTATTTGACAGCATTCTTGGCTCTTCCTGAAGTCCTATGATTCATTGAATATGATATTGACCTTGAAGTAAAATTCTCATAGGCATGAAAGCCTCAGGTTGTCATATACATATGTCATGGTTATTTGCTTTGTGAATAGCTCAGCATTTGTTTCAAACAAGCATAACCAACAATGTGCTCTATTTGCCTTTCAGACATCCAGTGGGTTATTAAGCTACAAATAATTTGTTTACTTCATTGGTGGGATTCACATTTCTTAGAAAACATTTTACATGGATAATTTTCTTGGGGAAAAAAGAATCTCAAAAAGCTTCTTGTCGGAGATGTTTGTTACGGGTGGCCCTTGTCAACCCTGGAGCAGGGCAGCACTGAGGAGCCAGGGAGGCAAACACAGGCCAGAGCTCTGGTAGGGATGAGCCGGTGTGAACTTTGTAATGGTTCATACCTTTTTTTCTTGAGACCGAGTCTTGCTTTGTCACCCAGGCTGTAGTGCAGTGGCATGATCTCGGCTCACTGTACTCACCTGCCTCCCAGGTTCAAGCAGTTCTCACGCCTCAGCCTCCCAAGTAGTCAGGATTACAGGTGCATGCCACCATTCCCAGCTAATATTTTGTATTTTTAGTAGAGATGGGGTTTCACCATGTTGTCTAGGCTGGTCTCAAGCTCCTGACCTTAAGTGATCCGCCTGTCTTGGCCTCCCAAAGTGCCGGGACTGCAGGCATGAGCCACCATGGCCGGTCAATGCTTCATACTTTTAAAAGAGCTTGTGTTTATCTCATTTAAACTTCCTTATAATCAATTGCCCCATATCTCTTCAATTTCTATTACTACTTTATATCTTTTTAATTTACTCTATTATCCAGTGGTCTTTTATTGCAGCAAGAATATATTACTTTTTGGACAAAAAGAAATTATTTTTAAAACATATTTTATGGCACTTGCCACCTTGTTTTATTATGTTTCCTTTTCTTCCTTTTGGATTTGAAGAGAAGGCCCATGTCTTTCTCACCTTTGAATTCTTGGTAACATGTACTCAAGTTTTCCTCAGATGAGATTATTTTCCTTATTCGACAGGTGAGACAGTTGCGGTTGAATGATTGATGCAGCTTGATGGTGATGATGGAACCAGGGCCTGAGCCATGGTTTTCTTATTTCTTAACTGAAGTCCTGGTGCTCTCCACGTGTTCCCATCATCATAGTTTGGCCACTTGTGCTACCTGCCACCTTCCAAGTGGTCTAGAAACCCACATTTCTTGGGGCCCTCTCCCTCAGGTGCTCCCTGCACCCTGGGGAAGTAGCCCTGGGCTGGAATAGTAGCCCCACTGCCTCTTGCTCCCCTCCGGGCCACACTCAGCATTGCTGCTAGAGCATCCTTCCAGAACCCCTTAGACCCGTGCTTTTAAACACTTACCTGGCCTTCCTCACCTGCACAGGAAGGTCTGAGGTCCTTTTGTGCGGGGATATAAGACCCTGCCTCTTTCCTAGCCACTTTCCCTTGCACTACCTCATCTAGCTGAGCCGAGGTTTTCACACTTCCCAAACACAGCCTGCTGCCTTGAGCTTTTATTCACCCTACCCTCTCAGCGTGGAACACCCCTGCACCCTTTATCTTTCTCTTATGCTTAACCAGTGCAGCCCAGGCCTTCCTCCTTCATACATCATAGGGTGGGACAAATGGTCTGTCGCCCAAGCTGGAGTGCAGTGGCACTCAATCTTTGTTCTTTTTTTTTGAGAGGCAAGGTCTCACTCTGTCACCCAGGCTGGAGAACAGTAGCTCCACCCAGGCTGGAGATCATAGCTCACTGTAGCCTTGAGCTCTTAGGGTCAAGTGATCCTCTTGGCTCAGCTTCCTGAGGAGCTGGGACTACAGGCATGTACCAGCGTACCTGACTAATTTACAAACAATTTTTTGTAAAGATGGGATTCTCACTATGCTGCCCAGGCAGGTCTTGAATTCCTGGGCTCAAGGGATTCTCTCACCTTGTCCTTCCAAAGTGTGGGGATTACAGGTGTGA